TGTATAAATTATACAGATTTGTGATTAACTCCTAGAAAAAAAAAAAAAGCAGCACTTCTGCTGGAATCCTTTATGCAACTTTGAATTATCTCTATTTCATGCTCCCTGCCTCTGTCTTGTCTGTTGTATGAGTCTTAATCTGTACTTGCCTGTAGACTTGCTTTGTAAATCTGTTTGTCACTGTGTATATCTGTGGGTGTGTGTTTGTTGTCTGAGCTGTGTGAGTCTCTGTGTTTCAGTGGTGTCCACCTGTTTGTTGTTCTGTGTGATTATATATATATATCATATATATGTCTGTATATGTATGTATATATATCATATATATACATATGTCTTATAATCTTTCTATCGCCTCTTCCAAGAAGATCCCCAAGCCTTGAAAGGAAGAATGTGATACTGAGGACTGAGCGCTTTGCAGTCTCTTATTCTCTCCATATTGACCAGTTAAATGCCTTTGTATTAATTGCCAGTTACTACCTGTAGTTTCTCTGATGATAGTTGAAAGATGCCCTGATCTATGGGTATAGCACTGAGTCATAAGGAGTTGTTTTTAATACTATGTCAATACAACTCAATCATACTGAGTTCTCACCTGAGGCCTATGGCCTAGCTGGTGAGAGGGATTAAAAATAGGAAAAAAAAGTAAAAGCATCCCTACACATATGGTATGATTCAGAAACCCTACAGATTCTATTAGATTTAGTAAATATGTTAAGTTGCAGGATATAAAACCAACACACAAAATTCAGAAGGCCTAGAAAGATGGCTAGGCTAACATTAAAGGCTAGGCTAACAACCAAAGATTAGTAGATTCCCCCATATACCAACAATGAACTCATGACAAGGAAATTAGGAAAAACATCTCGTTCAAAATATCTTCTCCAAAACAAAGTGCCTATGAATAAACCTCAAAAAAGATGTGAAAGACACAAACAACTTGGCTTTAGGATACAGAAAAGAAATTTTAGAAAAATTATACAGTGGGGAATCATTCCATGCTTCTAAGCTGACAGTCAATATTGTGAAAATGGCAGGATTACCAAAAGTAATCTACAGGTTCAATGTAATCACCATCAAAATTCCAATGTCATTCTTCATAAAAATTAAAAAAAAAATCCCATAAGAATCATATATAAGCAACTAATGTTTATCAGGAAGAACAATGCTGGAGATATCACAACATTTTACCTCAAATTATCATACAGAGTGAGTGAGAAAAAATGGACTGACACATGTAGAAAACATATATGTAAATTAATGGAATAGGATAAAAGATGCTGAAATAAACCCACATTGATGAAGGGCAGTTAATTTTTGACAAAAGTTTTTAAGAAAACTGAGTGTTGAAAAGGACAGCACAGTCACCAAATGGTGCTGGCAAGAGCAGATACTATAGCTCCACATCTCTCATACTGCATGAGTGTCAATTCAATAAAGATCAAATAGCTTACTTTAAAACCTTAAATGCTGAAACTGCTAGAGAATAACAGAGAAAATATATCTGAAAAAGTTTATATAAGCAAGTTTGTTTGTTTGTTTTTTGTATGTTTTTGGTTTTGGAGACAAGGTTTCTCTGTGTAGCCCTAGCTATCCTAGTACTCATTGTATAGATCAGGCTGGCCTTGAATTCAGAAATCTGCCTGCCTCTACCTAATCTGCTGGGATTATAGGTGTGCATCATCCCACCCAGCCAGGCAAGAACTTTCTTAACAGAACTCTAATAGCACAGAACACAGTCCAAGGAATTAATAAATGGCACTATATGAAATTTAAAAATTTCTAAACAGCAGGGAATCTATCCGCAAAGCAAACACCCAGTCTATGAAATGACAAAATCTTTCAGTCATGGCATGATGTCTAGAATATCAACAGAACCACAAAAGTTAAACTACAAAACTTTCAGTCACTAAATGGTCTAACAAAATAGGCAGATCTGAAGAAAACAAAACAAAACAAAAAAAAAACCAAAAAAACACAGATGACCAGTAAATCTTTTCTAAAAGAATGTTTAGCATCCTTAGGGAATGTGAGGGAAATGCAAATCAAAAATATTTCAAGAGTCTATAACACCCCAATTATTACTGTTATCATTAAGAAAAATGACAAATGTTGGTAAGACTGTTAAGAAACAAAGTTGGTGGGAACATAAACTAATACAACTACTTCAGAAATTAGAGTGGCAGTTTCTCAGAAAATTAAAAATAGAACTATCATATGACTCGGCTAAAGCACTCATTGATATATATGTAAAGGACTCTATATCTTACTACTGACATGCTTGCACATCTATGTTTACTGCTATACTATGTACAATGGCTCAGAAATAGAATCAGCTTAGATATCCACAAAGCTTAATACTGGTTATTTTGCAAGTCGATTAAAAATGTAATTCAAAAAATTTAACATAGGTAGCTTACATGGGTAGGTAATTTATTCCCTAGAAGCAAGACGTTGTTCAACAATATTCCCAGTGTGGTTCCCTCCCTTCCTGCTCTCTCACTAGGGGAAAATCTCAAGGCTTTCTGCATGCTAGGTAATAAGATCAAAATAGCTGCGAGTTAGAATCTTTAGTGAGCATAGACACTGAGAAGCATATGTTTTATTATGTAACACCTTTTGCCCACTTTTTAAAGTTCTTCTATTATAACTTGAGAACAAGAACAGGCACATGTATTTTAATATGTGTACTCTATTATTATGCATGTATACAAATTAAATAATATTAAGCCTTTTAACAACATTTACCTTTGTGTATTCTTCCATTTCATGTTCAAACATTGCATTAAAAACCGGGGATCGAGCTATAACAAGAATAAGCATCATTATTTTATGCACAAACTTAAGTTTAGAATCTTATATTATCCAAAGGAGAAGGTACAAGGTACCTGCAAGCACAGACTTATGAGCTTTGAATTCTTTTCCTTTCACAAAAAAGCAGCAATCTGTAAATCTTGTGTTTTCCCAGAGATTACCTAAATCTTCTGCTAGTCGACATTCGGGCACCTTCAAAGTGTTTGTATTAGTATATCCTGACACATTTACTGAATCTTGGACTACACTCACCTAATAAAGAAGACAACAAGGAAAACATTTTCATATAGCATTATCAATAATTATGTGTCCTTTAATTACTATGTGTTCCTTTAATTTTTTAAGATATCCTGATTAATTCAATGTACCTAGTACTCCCAAATCCTAATACCCTCAAAATAAATTTAATCATATAAGTGAAAGAAATAGCAAAGGGAAAATTAATAATAACCTAATTCTTCAGTAGTAACATTATATGTAAATAAATGACTTATCAATATTATAATCACAAAATTATTTCTTGCTAGAATCTCTACAATATCATCAGATTTGAAGAGTTGACAATTTGTGGACTTTTTGTTTTTCACTTTTACTTCATACCTAATAACATTTCATTTTTATTATACATGCGACTTTTATAGTTTTCAAAGACATCAAACTATTATCATTTAAAAATTGGAAAGTTGGGGCTCGAGTAATGCCTCACAAGAGGCATTAAGAGCACTGTCTGCCTTTCCTGAGACCTGGGTTGATTTTCAGCACTGACATGGCAGCTCTCAACCATCTGTAACTCCATGGGATCTAACACCCTTTTCTGGCTTCCCTGGGCATCAGACAGTCCATTGGTGCAGAGACGTAGATGCAAAACACCCACACACATAATAAAATATAAGAAATATACAAAGAAAACTGCGAACTTTATTATTCCTACACATCTCAACACTAGTAGAACTGATTTAGAATTGATTTAAAATTGATTTTAATTTTTAAGTAAAAAATTTCCACTGTTCACAATATTTTATGTAAAGTCAAAAGAGAGTTCAATACAAATGTACTTTAATACTTTATTTATCTGTGAAATACTAAGTAAGAATTGGAATAACTGTGACATTGCTTTTATGCAGATTCCCCATTAAAAACCATTGTTTACAGAATCAAATTTTATATACTTCATAAGATTTTTACAAGAAAGCCTCCATTATATTATATTGGAAATTTCATATTACAATGAACAACAGCAAAAAAGAACTACTTCAACTAACAAAGCAAATAGGAGCAGATGAACAATTTTTAAAAATTAAATTACATGTGCTACATTAGTTATATTTCTGAGTGCTAAATATTGGGAACATTTGTTACAAAGCAATAGACCACTGAATTCATTTCTTAAAAATACACTTTGAGGGTACACACTGGGCTTGGAAGATGGCTTAGCTGGCAAACTGCCTACTATGCAAATATGAGGACCTGAATTTGATCTCCAGGACCCATGTTGAAAAAAATAATTTACAGCAGGAAGTGTAATCTTAACACTAGGCAGGCAGTACTTGTTGGCCAGCCAGCCAAATGAGGAAGCACCAGTTCAGTATGGGGCCCTTACTAAACTCAAAAGTAAAACAAACCAAAACACCAAGCAAAAAACATGTACTACAACAAACCATGCAGAAAATGAACATACATAACAGATAAACTGGAGCAAACTAGTGGCCCGCAAATACATGACCTTGTGTAAAAGGTTTAAAGACCTGATGTACTAGTATGCAGAAATACGTGTTTCATAAATTAGTGGACAGTTCCAAGAAAAAGCTAGGTAAGATTTAGATTAGAACTCTATGTGGCATAGAGGTCACTGATCCATTCACCCTATCTTACAGGCAGTTCAAAGTAGTATAATGAGAAGATAAATTAAGCAATATAAACCCCACTGCTAGTATGTATCAAAAATGTTCTTCATATATCTCTAGATTCCTAAGCTCTTTGTACTACGTGCTATCTTTAATATGTAAAATTATCTTATAACAATTATGATTAATATCTATTACCTTTAACCATTATAAACCAAAGTATTTATTACAATAATCTTTTGAAATGGTTTTCTAAATACTGGAGCCAAAATATTATATACACAAAACCACTAATAAAAGTTTCTATCTTAAAACTTGCATCATTAAAATTATCTAAAATTTGCATAACTTCAAAGAGGAAGAAATGCTCCCCTGATCGTTACTTGATTGCCCTATTTTACACAAATGAAATGTGCTGATATAAATAAATATTCTGGGTTTATTTAGCAATCATTTTTAGCACATAATGTATTTAATTGCTTATATTAAGCATTAATCTTGAAATTTTTAGGGAGAACTAGATCTTTTAATTACCTTAATAAATTATATAGTACTAAAATATGATAACATTTGATTTAAGAAATGATTTCTTAAAATCTAGGTGTTATCTCTAATTCAAGAATAATATATTTGTGTGTTTGCACACAGGCATGCATGTGTGTTTGGGTGTGTGTACTACAAGTGCACAAATGTCATACTATCACTGTGGAAGTCAGAGGTTTTGAGGGGTCAGTTCTCCCCTTTTACCTTGTTTCTAAGGTTGAGTCTGTCTTGTTGTTATCATATTATTTCTAGTTAGACCACAGTTTCTGTCTGATTCTCCTGTCTCAGCCTGTCCCTGCCATAGGAGTGCTGGAATTACAGGTGCATGCCAACACATTTGTTTTTTTATGCCTGTGTTCTGCTCATCAGGCATGTGCATGGCAAGCACTTTTACACACTGAATCACCTCCTTGGGCCCCAAGATAATAGATATCACATAAAAACTTGGCAGAACACATACCATCAATCAATCAATAAGAGTAAATAGACATTATCATCACGTTACTGATGCACAGCTACATTCTGTACCAGCAATCATACTTTAAAAACTTGTCTTCCAAAAATGATAAGCTAGGGTCAGATGGAAGGGGGGGAGGACCTCCTCTATCAGTGGACTTGGAAAGGGGCAGGGAGGAGATGAGGGAGGGAGGGTAGGATTGGGAAGGAATGGGGGAGCGGGCTACAGCTGGGATACAAAGTTAATAAACTGTAACTAATATTAAAAATTTTTTTAAGTTAAAAAAAAACTTGTCTTCCTCATGTACCAATCTAGTGCTATCAAAGCAACCACACACTTCATTTCAGATGAAAATTAATAACCTAATTATTGCTGAGAAGTGATGGGTTCTCATTGTTTTGATACCTGAACTTGAAATGATAAAAATATTGAGAACAGGTAATGAACAATGAACATTATGGAACCTAGAGAGAAAATTCAGGAAGAAGGCTGAGATTCTTTGCTGATAAGACAATTCTCTTTTTAAACTGGCTATTGGCTTACCCTAAAAAATATAGCTTAATAGGAAGATGACCATTTGAGGGGTGTAATTGAATGTGCATCTAGCTCACAATCTACTCTTTTGTGGAACTGTAGAACTGGTTCTAACTTTTAAAAACCTGGCCCCTCTAAAACCACCCTAAAAGGAGCTGTTTCTAAAACCACAAAGTCTTACAATGTTGCCACTCTAATCAACTACCTCCTGAACTTCTATCCTCACTCCAAACGCAGAAACTTTACAAAGTCTGGTTTTATGTATCTCCTAGAAAAAGTTAGACAGTAAGAGTTTGGGGCTTTTATGACACCACTTAAAAAAATCTGGTGACAGCAACAGAGTGGTTACCTTTTCATGTCTCACAACTAAGAGTTCAGAAAATAAAACCTATCTTCCACTCATTATCATGAATGTTTTAAACAGACCTTATCAAAAGAATACCTTATCAATAGGGGAATTTTTTTTTAAAGTGTCCTTAGGAAAGAATGAGTTTAGCTTTATGAAAAACTTCTTGTATATTTTAGCTTTACATATTTTTTTTTAATCAAGGAGTGCCATAGATGTGTAGACTACCAAGAATATTTTTTTAAAAAGTAAGGTTCCAAAAGATTAGTGACTCTAACCAGTATTCTATTTCTCCAACTGATTCTCAATTCTTGTTTGTGTATCACTTTGGAGAAAAGCAGAGCTGTTTACACTGTTAGACATCTTCATCTAACTCGAGCCACTTGAGCCACTATAGAGACTGCAAGACTGAGCTATGTCTTGCACAAAAAGGGTAGCAGCCAGCTGCCTTACCTGTCTACAGCACCACTTGCAGTGGAGGGGGAGGTGCCAGTTCTTTAGGGAGGGCAGTGCAATGCTTCCTCCTCTTCTGCAAGCAGTGTTGGAGATGCTGTAGAAGGAAGGGCATCCATGAGAGGAGTGGAAGGCATGATAGAGGGCACAAAGAATGTTGTTTAAAGGTGATTTTTGCTCACCTATGCTAAAGATAGTGTCCAAGAGATAATGTCTGGGCTAGTGAAAAGCACCATTTCCAGATCTAAAAATGGGATCTGATCATTATCAACTTAAAAACATATGTCATTAATACAGTCTATGGGTCACTAGCATGTGTTATTTAGCATATAGATACCAGATAAACGTCAAAACTGCATACCTGGATAATCCTAAAATTAATTTCAGCCTTAATTCTGAATTTATTAATTGTCTAGGTTCCAGTACAAACATCCAGGAAAATATCTATTAACAAACACTACTTCAGCTCTATAATATAGATTATTTTCTAAAACAGGTTCATTCACTAGTCAAAACTATCAGGCTGTTTTTTGTGTTTGTTTGGGTTTTAATAGATTGCTTAAATAACCCTTAAGGACTATTAACCTCTAAGATGACATTAAAAAAAAAAAAACCTAACATTTTCAAATTAAGGTAAATTCTAAAATTCTGGAACAGTATAATGTCTATCTATTTAAAATACTATTTAAATACCTGCTTATTGTAAATAAATGCTTCAGGTTTTTTTTTTTTCCCCCTTGAAATCATGAGAAACAACCAAATAATTACATTTTGACCAAGTGAATTATACAGTTCATTTATGCAAGTAATTCTCTGTGGCCATATTTTAATTACAATTCATCAGTATGATACAAAACAATAACACAGAGTCAGTGATCCTGAAACATTTTATATACTGACTATAGAGACTAAAGCTAATTCAGTAAATGAGAAAGCTATTATATACATCTGTTCACATTAAGTTGCTGAATACATTGATACTTTAAGAAATTCATCAGCCACTTTAAGCCATACCAATAAAATTGTACTAGAAACAACATAACCCTTGAGTTTACTGCAAAAATTGAATCTCATGATTTTCCATGAACAAAACTACCCAAAGATAAAAATGACAGACGCAAACTCAAACCTAAAATCAACACAAGTCACAAGAGCACATTCCTGGCAAAGGAAAACACTCATGCTTTTCAAAATATCATACTTTATGAATATAAATTAAGTATGTTTGCTAAAATATATGCATATCATTAAAATCTCAGATTTGTTTTTCAGGATATTAGCACCAATTAGACTATGTTAATCCAATAGCCTGAAGGACCAGAATGCTTCCCAATGTTTTCCATGTGCTTTTTTATTAAACTGTGAACTGTGAGTAATAAACTTGTAGCAAATTAACCTAAAAAACTGACCATCTATGGCAGAGTTACTCAGAATGAAGAAGATATTAAATGAACACAACAAAAATATACATATCCAGTTTTTAAAATAAGGATTCATTATGTGGTAGGTACAATTCCGAAAACAACTAGAGATATAAAAAATTATGGAACAGCACATTGATTTGTAAGATTAATTTAGATAGCTTTTCTGATAAAGAATTTACAAAGCTAACCTTATAAAATACACCACTTTAATTTTAAACATATACTTAGTATTAACCTAGTTCACACTTTTGCCACAGCACTAAATAAACTATGAAGCTCTTTATTAATAGAAACATACTCACCTCACAGAATAAGGTAAGCTTGTCATCTGGTAAGAGACCGTTAGCTTCATCAAGCAAAAAGTCCCTTCTAATGAATTTTTTAAATCCCCAGTCCTTTCCCTGTACAAATCGATAAGCTCTTTGGCTTTCTGGTGGAAAACAGAGTTAAATAAGACAAGCATTAAATGATAATTTTTTCTTAGTGGTGAAGACATACAGATGTAGAGGACATAACTAGAGTATTCACTATGCTGTATTGTATTAGCACATGTGTAAATGAGGCATCTGAAGACATGTATCAAGGAGAATGAAACCTTCACTGTTTGAATCAAACAAACTTCACCATTGCTAGAGGAAAAGGACACACACAGACACAGACACACATACACACAGTCTCATTTTCCCTCTTACACACAAACACACACACAGAGCAACACAGGCACACACACACACTGCTGCCTGTAAATAAGAAATTCAAAACATGTTGATATTGGTAGTGTAGTTATCACCTAATGTTAAAACTTTGTAAAAAAAATTCTTTCCTGTTTCTTCCCTTAAAACTAAGTGCTCTAACTTTATTAAATTCTTTAGGCACTGCTAGCAAATACATCGTATTGATTTAAGTTTGCTGAATTATAAAGAAAACCTCAAATTGGTGAGAATGCTATAAAGCCCCTTGCCATTCCCAAGATTTTAGATATGATCTCATGAAATAAAGTTTCACAAATGAAAGCCCAAAAGATACTTTTAGTACAATTTGTAACAGATTTTGATAAATATCAAAATGTTTCAAACATAGTAGAGAGTGCTTAATTTTATACTGTAAAATACACAATACTCTCAACAGAAAGCACTTCTTATATATTATTATCTATACAATCAGAGTGGAACTTTAACTGAAATACTCTATTTTAAATGTCACATAATATGGAAATATAAATATTACAAATTATATATGTAATGAAGTTACTTGGTTCTTTGATTAATTTCCAAAAAGTATTTATAATTCAGTATGGCAGTTCATAGACTATTACTGAATAAACACATTATAAATATTCTCTAACATTCTTCTCTTATGAATCTCTGAAGTAAAGAATTTTCACTAGCGTTAAAAGGCTCTGACAAAAAAAAAAAACAAAGAAAGAAAAAATTGATTTTCTTTCATTTACTGTTAGTCCACTATTAAAAAAAAAAATTCTCGTGACAAATTATTATACCATTCTGTCTCCTTTGTGTTGTTCTCCAGCATAAAGCCAAGGGAGACAAGAAATTTTCTTCATGACATGTACCAGGAACTCTATTTTAGCAGCAACTATTTTTTTGAGTGACAAGAAAAACATCACTTAGGACCTGAAGCAGTTAAAATTTAATATTGTTTTAAGTACTTCTATATGTCTACAGAAGCTAAAACTTAGAAAACAACTTTAGCTTGAATGTAAAATGTAAAATTAAACAATGGGTAAAGAGAAATGTTTTGGACTACAGAAATGTAAGGGAGGAAAATAATCCCACATTTTTCTAGGTGAAGCATGTAGATAAAAAGTCTTCCTCCAGTCTGCCAATCACTTACCCATTGCTTTTGTTTCTTCCCTTTTGGCATTCAGAAGCGAGAATTTGAATTTAGCTCGAACCTCACTTTTAGGGCAGCTGACTAGAAGCAAATATAAAGACAAGTAGTCTTTACTTTCATCATCTAATCCCTTTGGGTTTACCCTCAGGCACCTAAAATAAAACAATAGGTCACTTAGAGAAATTTAGTGTTTAACATCAACAAAAAGATAGGCAATATCAAAATCACCTACAAATTAATATCACAATAGCACTTCTCTAATCTCATGATTCCTTATATTTCTCCATTTTATTAGGAATTAATTAATAATTTAATGTTAAATTAAACTAATAACATAGAACTAACAACAAAAATAAACCCAAAGTAACAAACAATATAGGAAAAAGTATAATAATAATGCTTACCATTTCATTTTATCACTTGGGCCAGAAGAAAAAGTTGAGCTCTTTAACACTTCACCCATTTCTTCTCGACAAAAACTGAAGTTATTAATAGTCCACATGTAGGAAAATTTCACTACTTTAACCTAAGAGATAAGAAAGCCACTTTTTATACTCATGACTTAATCTTGTTACAATTCAAAGATTCATTTAAATTTTTCTAGTGATAATGTCACAATGTTTTACAATTTTACAATAATACTTGTTATCACCAGAAAATTTATGCAACAAGCAACAAATGCATTTTAAATGGCATGTACCTGTGTGTAACACCAGCTTTCTGCAACAGGGCTAGTAGACATATCTCCAGGCAGGGGTGGAGTAGGTTCCCGAGACATTGCCACCTTATTACAGTCTTAAGATTCATACAGTATCCCACAAACTTGAATAATTTAGCTACAAAGAAATTACATTTATTGATCAACCTTTGAGAAAATAAGGAGAGAAAATATTTTTCTCTTTTGTAATTTTAATATTTTATTATTATTTACTACAATTTATTCAATTAGTATCCCAGTTGTAGCCCCCTCCCTCATCTCCTCCCAATTCTACCTTCTCTCCCTCTTCTCCCTCATCCCCTACTCCACTGACAGGGGAGGTCCTCCTCCCCTACTATCTGACCATAGCCTATCAGGTCTCATCGGGACTGGCTGCATCTTCTTCCTCTGTGGCCTGACAAGGCGGCCCCCCCAAAGGGGTGGTGATCAAAGAACTGGGCACTGAATTCATGTCTGAGACAATTCTTGTTCCCCTTACTAGTTCCCCACATGGAGGAAAAACATACTAAAATCTATAGTCCTGAAGAAGCTAAAGAACAAGGAGGACCCTACGGAAGATACTTAATCCTCATTTAGAAGGGCAAACAGGATAGATACTGGAATTGGGAGAAGACAGGGAACAGGAGAGGAGAGGAGAAAGAATGTATTTAGAGTTGAGGGAAATTAGTATTAAAATTACATTTTGAAAGAATATATAAGGTATTCAAATAATTTAAGAAATTTTTAGTAAATGAAACTATAAACATGTCAACTAAAATATCTGAAATCTAAACAAACTTAATATTTACATAAGACTATTTTTCAAAATAACACAAATAACCACATAGTGCAACATATCACAGAAACTTTCTGTCATCACTTCTTGAAATGCAGAGAACAAGCAAGCTATCACTGCAACTATGTGTTTTCCCCTGTCAGACCCCAGTTCTCACTAAAGAAAAAACTTCTACAAAAGCCTACAAATAATTCAGACAACATGGCTGTGGCATAAGACTGTATCTCTTTCACAGTGTTTCCTTCTTAGATGATATATAGTGTTTTCTTCTTAGAATGATATATTTCCCTCTAGTTACCTATTCCTGTAGCAAATCAATTTGGATGCACATTTAAAAATCTAGATGTTGTAAAGCATTTATTTGAGATGCTCTCTTTTCTCCAATGTGTACTTTTGAAATCTTTGTCAAAAATGAGTTGATTGTAGTTGCATGGGAGAACTTTAATATACTACAGTAACATTTTTCATTATTGGTGACTGTGTTCTCTGTAGTCTTCTTACTTCCCATTCTCCTTCCCGCCTCCTATTGTCATCGTTGATTTTGCTGAATATGATGAATTTTGTAGGATCTTTTAATTTAAGAACTAATCAAGAAAACCACATAAATCCTATGAAAGGAAATACCTGGGAGAAGATGACAAACCCCTTACATAAAAAAAAAGAGACATCATTTTCTCTAAAGCTATACAACAGTAGTATAAGATAACAAAGATTGAAGTAAGCCACTTGACAGACTGAGAAAGAAAGAAAGCTATAAAAGATAAGCCAGCATATAAAGCTATGAGAAAAGATGCACTTTAACACTCTGCAGTAGAGATAAGAAGCAGGAGCCACGAATCACTACAGAGACCTGGAGACACAGGCAGAAATCAGGAGGATCACAGAAACACAGAATTTTGCCTGGTCTACACAGCAAATTCCAGCCTCCTGTCTCAAAACAAAAATAAAGAAACAGAAAAAAGGAGAGGGAGAACTACTAAGGAATTGGTGATGATAGTAACAGCAGGAGAGAATATTGGGGCATAAGGAGAGGACAATAAGAGGGCAGGACGATGAACACTGAAGATAAGCATACCAATAATGAAAATATTAATGTAATATATGAAAATTCTATGAAACTACAACCAACTGATAGTTTTAAACTTTTACTGGTTCTCCTCCCCCTGGTACTTTCATTCCACCCTTGCAACGTGGGACCCCAACAGAGGGAAAAAAAAAAACTCATTGTGGAAATTGTAGTTGTGTTACAGTGTCTTACAGTATAACCTTTTGTCCATACTTCTTTGCTTACAGATGTTCATTACAATGAGTCTTGGTCTGGCATTAGGCCTCTGGCTTTTGCTACTCCTATCAATACTGGAACCTCACTGGGCCTCCTCTCAGATATCCTGTTGTTGCCCTGTGTCATGGAGGTCTGGTAGTTCTGAATCTGTAGGACTGGCCCCTTCAGGCAGGCCTGCAGTTCACTGATGGGGCAGATGTGGGGTGGGCCTGAGAGGTCTGAACTGATGAGCAGGTCAGCTCTACCACACTCACTCCTAAAGGGTGAACGCTCCAGCCTTGCCACCAACAGCAAAGGGGCAGAGCCAGCTTTCCTATTCTTATGCCCTTGGAGCTGGCTCGTCCAAACCCATACCATCAAGGCCAGCTCTACTGTGCCCAGGTGAGCAAAGCTCTACTGTGAGCAAGTGAGGTGAAGGCCAGTTCTCTCAAGTGCTGCAGCATGCAAGGACAGGGGCAGTTCTCCCACTCTAATGACCCAGGGCCAACTCTCTCCCCTGCCACAGGCGGTGAGGGATGAGGTGTGACAAGAATACCCTCCCAACCGAATTCTCACAAACATTTCAAAGGTACACATTAGAGAAAAGAGAACATCTCAAACAAATGCTGCTAGAAAAATAAAGTATCTACCTGGAGAAGAGTGAAACTTGACCATTTCTTCTTTTTTTTTTTTTTTAATTCTTTATTAATTTCACTTTATTCACTTTGTATACCCCCTGTGGTTCCCCCCTCCTCCCATCCCAATCCTTCCCTTCCTCCACCCTCTGCATGCATGCCCCTCCCCAAGTCCACTGATAGGGGAGGTCTTCTTTTCCTTCCTTCTGATCCTAGTCAATTAGGTCTCATCAGGGGTGGCTGCATTGTCTTCATCTGTGGCCTGGTAATTTTTCTTCCCTCTCAGGGGGAGGTAATTAAAGAGCAGGCCAATCAGTTCATGTCAGAGACAGTCCCTGTTCCTATTACAATGGAACCCACTTGGATACTGAACTGCCATGGGCTACATCTGTGCAGGGGTCTTAGGTTATTTCCATGCATAGTCCTTGGTTGGAGTATCAGTCTCAGGAAAGACCCCAGTGCTCAGATTTTTTGGTTCTGTTGCTCTCCTTGTGGAGTGTCTGTCTTCTTCGGATCTTACCGTTTCCCACTTCTTACATAAGGTTCCCTACACTCTGCCCTAATGTTGCCGTAAGTCCCAGCATCTGCATTTACAGTCTTCAGGGCAGAGCCTTTCAGAGGTCCTCTGTGACAGGCTCCTGACTTGTTCCCTCTTTTCTCCTCCTTCTGATGTCTATCCTCTTTGCTTTTCCGGATAGGGATTGATCATTTTAGCAAGAGTCCTCCCTCTTCATTAGTTTCTTTAGGTTTACAGATTTTAGTAGGTTTATCCTATATTATATGTTTATATGAGTAAGTATATACTGTGTGTGTCTTTCTGCTTCTGGGATAGCTCACCCAGGATAATCTTTTCCAGATCCCACCAACTACCTGCAAATTTCATGATATCCTTGTTTTTTATTGCTGAATAATATTCCATTGTGTAGATGTACCACAATTTCTGTTTCCATTCCTCTGCTGAGGGGCATCTGGGCTGTTTCCAGCTTCTGGCTATTACAAATAAGGCTGCTACAAACATGGTTGAGCAAATGTCCTTATTGTGTACTTGAGCCTCTTTTGGGTATATGCCTAGAAGTGGTATAGCTGGATCTTGAGGAAGCGCTATTCCTAGTTGTCTGAGGAAGCGCCAGATTGCTTTCCAGAATGGTTGTACAAGTTTATATTCCCACCAGCAGTGGAGGAGGCTTCCCCTTTCTCCACAACCTCTCCAGCTTGTACTGTCACTTGAGTTTTTGATCTTAGCCATTCTGATGGGTGTAAGGTGAAATCTTAGGGTCGTTTTGATTTGCATTTCCCTTATGACTAAGGACACTGAACATTCCTTAAGTGTTTCTCTGCCATTTGATATTCCTCTATTGAGAGTTCTCTGTTTAGCTCTGTTCCCCATTTGGGAAGATCTCCCATGTTCATGTCTTGGCAGGATTAACATAGTAAAAATGGCCATTTTACCAAAAGCAATCTACAGATTCAATGCAATCCCCATCAAATTACCAACACAATTCTTTACAGACCTTGAAAGAAAAATTCTCAACTTCATATGGAACAACAAGAAACCCAGAATTGCTAAAACAATTCTCTACAGTAAAAGATCTTCAGGAGGTATTTCCATCCCTGATCTCAAGCTGTACTATAGAGCAACAATACTAAAAACTGCATGGTACTGGCATAGAAACAGACTGGTGGATCAATGGAATCGAATAGAAGACCCTGACATAAATCCACACACTTATGGACACCTGATTTTTGACAAAGATGCTAAAATCATTCAATGGAAAAAAGACAGCATCTTCAATAAATGGTGCTAGTCTAACTGGATGTCTACATGTAGAAAAATGCAAATAGATCCATACTTATCACCCTGCACAAAACTAAAGTCCAAGTGGATCAAAGACCTCAATATAAAACCAGACACACTAAATCACTTAGAAGAAGAAGGGGGGAAGAGCTTTGAACTCACTGGCACAGGAGACAACTTCCTGAACAGAACACCAACAGCACGGGCTTTAAGAGCAACAATCAATAAATGGGACCTCATGAAACTGAAGTGCTTTTGTAAAGAAAGGACACTGTTGTCAGAGCAAAACGACTGCGTACAGATTGGGAAAGGATCTTCACCAACCCTATATCTGACAGAGGACTAATATCCAGTATATATAAAGAACTCAAGAAGTTAAACAGCAACAAATCAAGTAATCCAATTAAAAATGATCATTTCTTCTTATCCTGCCAAAACACATAAATTCTAAATGGGTCAAAGCCCTTAACTTCAGACCAAAAACTGATACTGCTACAGCAAAAAGTAAAGAATACATGTCAAAATGTAAGTATTTTTGAACAGGACTCAGGTCATTCAAGAAATAAAATCAATAGTGAACAAATGAGACCTCATGAAAGAAAAAATGCTTTT